CTGGTGGTCACACCCAGAGCCCGGCCGTCTGTGTGCCCAGGGGCCCGGCTTCCCCAGCTCACCTGGCTTCCCCCCAACAAGGGCTTTTCTCTGGGGCCCCCTGGATCCCAGGACACATTCGCTCGCCTCCCTCGGCCTTGGCGTCTCCGGACGGGCTGATCCGAAGGGACTGGAGGGGGAGGCGAGCCCGGGCCTCCGAGGAGCACAGAGCAGCCGCGTGTGGGGCCCAGAGGGAGCGTGGCTTCCTCCGCCAGACGGGCGAGAATCAGTAAATGAGAGGACGCAAGAACCAGCGACACGGACAGTGATGGCGACCGACCAGCGCCGCGGACAGTGATGGCGACCGACCAGCGACTCGGACAGTGATGGCTGATGGCGACCGACCAGCGACACGGACAGTGATGGCGACCGACCAGCGACACGGACAGTGATGGCGACCGACCAGCGACACGGACAGTGATGGCGACCGACCAGCGACACGGACAGTGATGGCGACCGACCAGCGACACGGACAGTGATGGCGACCGACCACAGCGCCGCGCAGTGATGGTGACCGTGCTACGACTCCCACCTTTCCCGCGGCCGGAAACCGCCGAGGACGGTGCACAGACAGACAGACGGCAAACGGGCTTCTGTTTGCAACCGCTCGGGGACGAAGGTCTCCGTGTCCCATCGCTGGGAGGAGTGTGACCGACAGCACCGGACGCGGGCTCCACGCTGGCCTCGCGGCCTCGGGCCGGACATGGACGGTGCAGCTTAACTCACGGAAGAGCTCCCCAGAGGCTCCCTCCGGGCAGAGTGGGGGAGCAGAGTCGGGAGGTGGCAGCCGCTTGTCTTGGGGCCGCAGGGGTGGGGAACCCGCACTGCGGGGGAGGCGCTGAGAGCAGGAAGTGGGAAGTAATCCTCAAAGCTGTCCCATGGCCCCCGATCGCCGGGAGCAGGTTTGGACATTTATCACAGACTGACCCTTCTGCTCGGCGCCAAAGGGCAGGTGACAGGCCAGTCCAGCCCATCGTCAGGGTCAGGGTCAGGGTCGCTCTGCAGACGGCCCAGGGTGTGGCCTGTGGAAATGTCGCCCCAAGTGCTTCTCTTTGCAGGGCTTCCCATGTCTCACCAACAAACAGCGCGGCAGCAGGTAGGGCAGGGGCTGTGTGGGGGCCACGCCGCATCCCGGACCCGCTCCCCCCGCAGGAGCACAA